ACCGGCCGCCGGTCGCCCCGCGCGCGCACGTCACACGCCGCCCGGAGCGCGCCGGGCCCGGCTGAGGTCACACTGACGCGACCGCGTTTCCTGGTACGCGGCGTGCAGGACGCGAGGTGACGCAGGCTTCTCCACGAGGCCACTGACGCCGAGTGGCGGGGCCAGGGCTGGGGCTGGGTTCAAATCCAGCCAGGCGCTCCAAGGTGGAAACCTGCCTCCCTGCCCCTAATTAAACTAAATTTAAGTGAAGGCCCAGGCCTGGGGTTTTGTGCAGCATTTTGTTCTTGAGACGGCAGAATTTGTATCGTCCGGACGCGTTTTGCGTCCTGTTTTCCTGCTCTTGTCCATCGGTGGGACCAGGCAACTTAAAGGAGCTGCTTGGGGATTGCTAGGAAGATGGGCATGGGTGTTACCTAACCATATTCTGTTAGCTAGCTAAATAGGTCCTGGAAAACAATGAGGGTGGACTCCCTCTTGGTTAACACTGCATTCGAACTCCTGTTTCCCTGGTGACATAAGAAAGGAAAAGCTAACAACTGCCCCCCTCCCCCATACCACCTGGCCAAAATGGAATACCCCTGCTCTAGGTGGAGACTTGGCATCCCGATCTGCTCCAAAGATTATAACATTACATACTATTATCTTCTACCTTAAGCTGGCCAAGAGTCCACTTCCAGAAATCGGATTTATTTGGAGACGTGTTAAAGAGGTGGGAGAGAAAATTATCCCTTTAATAAAATACTGTACTTACTGGACTTCCCAAGATGAGCTCCTTTAGAGCTTCCTTCTGTCATGTAGCAGTGCTAAGCTTGCTTTTCTGTGTTTTAATTAAGAAAAATGTAACACCTGCCTTTTGTTTGTTTTGTTTTTCTTTAGTCGATAGCCAAAAGCCTAAGCATGCTTTCCCTGCCACTGTCCCCTCCTGCAACTGCTGGTGGCCTCTATTCTGAACAAGGCAGTTAACTACTGGATCCTAACTCAAAAGGCACAACTTTGTTTCTTCCTCTTCTCTATCTCCTTGCCTACCCTGTTAGTTTTTTATTTCAAACTAATAAAATTGTCCTTGAAAAAAAGCTTTGTCATTCTCTTATTAACAAGTGCAAGAATTTAAAAGGGAACTCTGAACATTTCCATGTTTTCAACATGTGTGAATACACTTAAAATACATATTTTTTAAATATTTGTAACATCTCAGGAATGTAACACAAAGTGGGGCAGATACAAAGAAAAAAATTAAGATGACCTAGGAAGGCAAAGGAGCTTCTTTGGAGTCTGGTAGAAGTCTCACACCACTGACAAGAATTCCAGTAAAGTTAACAAAATTTGCTGTGAGTAACAAAATTACTTCAATTAGAAAAATTTAAATGATTATGAAATGGCAGTGAACCACACTTAAAGCCTGACTGTATCTGACCACGTATGGTCTTTCCCCTTTTCTAGCTGTAAACCTGCAAGTTCCTGGATGTCTCAGAAAGAATTCTTCTAACTTTGTAGTGAAAGACCTCACCTACACTCCTGTGAAACCTGTTTTCCTTGTACTTTATCATCCAATGGACTTTAGAACCACTCTGAGCTCATTTACCAAAAACAGCAATTTCAGGAAGCGTCAAAATCATCTATAAGGTTGTTAAGACAATTACTTGTCACTTTATTTGAGTAGCCCATGCCTATAATTGGGTTTGCATTGTCCTTTTGCTAAGGGTCTATTATAAATGTCTGTGCTTAAATCTATGTTAAAAATTTTAAAACATCTTTTTGCGTATATCAGAGGTAGATGTCAAATGTCTTCCTCTATACTTGCCCACTTTTTCTTTTTTCTTTTTTTTTTGGAGAGGGTTTCTTACTGAACGCAGCCTTAACTGATTATCTAGACTGGCTGGCCATGGAGACCCCAAGATCCTCCTGACTCAACTTCCTTGGCATTGGGACTCCAAGGGCATACTACCACACTGGCTTTTACGTGGGTGCTGGGGATGTGAACTCTGATCCTAAGGATTGCACCTCTAATGCTTAAACAACAACAACAAACCCAAAAACAAAGCAAAAACACAATCTCTTCTTGATGAACTCTAGCTTTGGCTAGAGATGTGTGGTTCAGTTGGTAGTGTTCACCCTGGCTTTGATCTCCAGCACCTCCATCTCTTTATGTGTGGCATATACCTATAATCCTATCACTCAGGGAGTAAAAACAGAAGGATAAAAGTTCAAGGCCATACACAGCTCTATAGAGAGTCTGAAGCCTGCCTGTGACTACATGAGACCCCAACTCAAAAAATAACAAACTCTAATTCTGCTTCCTACTAAGTCCCTGAGATTTTTTTTTTTTTTTTTTTGTGGCACAGCCAAGAATCCTGGTTTCAGCCAAGTTGAGGTCCCTGAAAATAATTCCCACAGAATATAAATATGGTGTGTGTATTCATATGCCTTGTATATGCCAGAGGTCAACCTTGGGTGCTAATATTTAGGAGCTGTCCAGCTTCTCTTTGAGAGGAAGTCTCTCATTGGCTGCAGATTAAGCTAGGCTGGCTAGACAGTGAGCTCCAAGAGCTGTCTCTGCCTCCCCAGCACCGGGATCACAAGGGTATGCCAAGGCAACTGGATTTTTTTAAAAAAAAAAGATTTATGTTTACATGTGAGTGCTTACATGTATGTACGAGTACCACATGCATGCCTGGTGCCTACAGAGAAGAGGTTGTCAGATCCTCTAGAACTGATGTTACAGATGGCTGTAAGCCATGTGGGTGCTGAGAACTGAACCTAAGTCCTCTGTAAGAGCAAGTGCTCTTAACTACTGAGTCATCTCTCCAGTCCCCACACCTGCATTTTTACGAGGATGCTGGAGATCGCATTAGGACCTCATCAACTTCTTGATTGTGCTATAAGCTCTTTACCAACACAGCTATCTCCCGATCCCTTCTTGCCCTCTGCTGATACCAACCAATGGTTGGGTGGGATGAACTAATAAGGCAGCTGTGGTGACAGTACAGGTGCAGAAGTGGTGCCTCAGGAAATGCAGGCTGCAAGGCCAGCAACAGGAAGTGGCCGACCAGATGGGCCAGGGACTGGGGTTGGTACATGAACAGTGGAAACAGAGGTGGTCAAGACTCTGCGGCTGGACAGAAGCCTGTAAGAGTCTGTCTGCTGGTAGAGTTCCAGAGAGTTGTCGAGTGGCCATTAGTCAAGGGTAGGGAACTTCTAACATCCTGGGCTTGAGAATCACGGTACTCAAAAGCTGTAGAGCTGCTGTCAAAGGTTGGAGAACCCACGCTTCCCAGACTTACACTAACCAGAGTTCTAACACTGGATTAAATTCAGTCAGATACAACTTAAAAACTTTGAGGTATATATTCAATTAGAAATATACTAGTTGATTTTCCAATTTAAAATTTTAATGTACAGTCTGAATATAATTCTACCCAGAATTCCATGTTTTCTCATTTTATGTAGACATTTGTTCTACTTCCTGAACTTTCAAAAAATTCAAAACATACTTGTTAACTTACAGAAGAGTCGTAACTTGTGGATATTAAAGAAGTTTTATTTAAAAATGCTAAAAATAGAGTATCTTTAGTAAAAATTCTACACACACACACACACACACACCACAATTCATAAAGATTCAGTATGTGATTTGGGACTGTGGGATGTCTGAATCTCCTGGATTCTTTAAAACTAAACTTCTGGGTCCATTCAAAATTTACTCAACTGGAATGCATGAGGAAGGGTATAGGAACTGATTTTTTCTTTTTTAAATTTTAGTGTAAAAAGTGATGTGTTTTGGCTGAATGTTGTCTGTGCACAATATGCTTGGCAGGTGCCTGAGGAGGCCTGAAGAAGGGGTTGGATCCCCTGGAAATGGAGTTCCAGACAGTAGTGAGCAGCCACTGAGAGCTGGGAATCTGATCTAGGTCCTCTGAAAGAACAGCCAGTGCTTTTAACCGTGAGCAATCTCTTCAGCCCCAGTTCTGAATCTTTAAAATTCTGGGAAAATTTCCATTTGTTCTTGGAGACAAAGACTTGATGGCCTAGAGCTTCCAATCTTTTTCCTTTAGCTTCTGAGTGCTTGGATTAGAGACATGTGCCACCATGTCTGGCCCCAGCGACCACTGTTGTACTGAAGTTGAAAGCCTTCAACACAGACTTAAAAGAAATACCAGGATGTGACCTCATATGGTTCCATGTAGATATAACATTTATACTACAATGGTTAAAAAAGTGGAGTCAAACACCGTAATTGTCTGTAAGGTAATCCAGGACAGCTGATGTGCTTGACAGAGCGTTAAATACTCTTTTTTCCTGCCTTGATGTTATCTTCTCCATCATGTACATTAAATGTTGATGGAAACACATAAAAGGAGTTCCAAGTTCAAGAGCGATGTCAACCCAGTCCCAGATACATTTCAGTGGGGTTTCTTCATATCCAGCAAACATAGCTGGGTTTGACAAAAGTCCCCTTGCAACCATCACACCTGCAAATTAAAGCACAACATATCTGTCCGTAAACTAAGAATCCATGGTTATCAGTTCAAACAGTGCAAGAGTATTTATCAAAAAGTATTATTTTGAGGTTTCAGAATACCCTTACTACAAATTAATGAAATTCAACAAGAAATAAGTTGATTCTGGTGCCACTGATAAACCAACTGTATTTATACAACTAACTGTAAAAAGACATCTATATTAATTGACTTTCTTTAGGAGACATCCATGTTGTCATAAATTGGGCTGCTTAAAGTTGAATCTATTTGCTTTCATCTAGGAACAGTTACCATAGGACTGCTTGTTAATTATATGAGGGGCAATGACAATACATGACAGTTCTGAGGCTCCTGTGGCCAACCACGTTCACTAATTCTCATCTCTAGTCTGAT